AGTTTGTTCAGTGAGTTTTTTTGAGAAGTATTTGTTCAAAAATAATTAATAAGGGTGGAAGTTAGTTCACCGCAATCACGCCTTATATTAAAATTGTGATTGTTCAAAATGCCACCAATTAGCCGTACCAACCTAGGTCGCAGAACTCGCAATGCTACAAGTCAAAGATATATACGAATAAGTCAAACTTATGAACAACGAGAAGCGAGAAATGAAGTTGAACGAATCGAAGACTGAAATTCAACAACCTAGAAGTGCCGCATTTAATCCCAATCGAGATCCATTCAATTATGATCAGCTCTCAACAAATCGGTTCTATTGGACCAATGAACGTTGTGACTCCGCATTGCAAGACTTTCAAGTTTAAAAATAAAGCCCCTGGATTATGTTGCGTCAGTAGAAAGATCAGAGTGACTCCATTGGTACCACCACCAGAAATCACTACATTCATCGGTTTCCAGAAATGAGCCAGATTCTATACATTTTTAGACTCTTATCCAGCACTACAATAACTGCTTTCAAATGACGTCATTTGGCGCAACAAAATTCATTCCACATAATTTTACGCCTACTTTCAAGGTAAGTTAATGGGAGAATGAGAGTGCTGCAAACGTATTTTGCTACCCACATGGCGGTACGAACACTTCGCTATACAATTACTTATATTCCATATATTTACGCTTTTATTATTGACTATTCATTCCAGTTCATAGCTAAGACAGGACAACGTCTGTCGGGTCAGCTAGTTATATATAATATTGGTCTTCATGTTTTCCAGTGACAGGAGTAGCGATAAAATGTAAAAGGTCAAAATAAACATTTATGCCGAAGCTTCAAACTTTGAACGTGTCTCCAGACCGAGTCGTCCTCCAGGAAAAAAATGAGCCTGATCTGAGATCTGACCCGCCAAGACAGGTCATCAAATTTTAGTTCTGACCTATACAGACATGTGAATATCTGACAACTCTGTCAGCATCACGTCTAGACCACAGTACGGAGAGACATGAAGATATGTACGCTTCTAAGTAGCTACAATTTATCCGCAAAAAATATACAAGGATATATCAAAATATCTCGAAAAGTACGTTTCCTAGAGAAAAATGTTGTGGAAGAAAGTTGTAGGGCTTAAAAAGTAGCATTCATTGGTGATATTGAACTTGACCTTGACTACAATATTTACGGCCATTTTGAGGTCAAGATAGTCTTCTTAAAAACCCGACTTTTGAAACCGTAAATGTGAAGAGCGAGAAAAGTTACATTGAAGTATATCTTGACCATAATCTTCAAGGGTATTTGAGGGTGTCCAGAAGGTACGTAGAGGACAAAACATCTCGATGAATCCGTTTCATAAAGAAACATGTTTTGACACCAGAAATGTAAAGAGCGAGGAATGTTGCATTGAAGTACAAAGGGTACTACAAAAGTTTTTCAAGATGACTTAACAAACATTCGCAGGAGGCTGCATGGTACTGCATGTTGAGACATGTCCATGAATATATAGCAGCCGTCAGCAGCACGTCTGTTGATTTACGAGTAGTTGTTCATTTGTATTGTCAGTTGGTCTAATCATATTAGCAAATATCCTCCAAATTATTATAAAGTCTGATTTTATTGATGTAAGTTCTTCAAGGGGTATATAAAACATGGACGTATAAAATGAGTACACCAATGTTTGTGGGAAAAGTTTTTATTCGACAACAAAGAATAAGAAAACGTGTTTTTTGGGATTCAATCCAAAGTGCTGACAGGAACCAAGAAACCCTTCCAATAAGATTTTTAGGTGCTTATGAGACCTAGGGAATGAGACCGCACGTAAAAAGATCTAACTAATACTAAAAAAGTTATGACCGAAAACCAGACAAAATCAGGTTATGGATAATTTCAGGCACTGCGGCCAAAGTCAAGCATGGACACTTGGTACCTCCAGCATGACGACGCTTCAGCTCATCGCGCCAAAGCCTGCACCGAGTATTTGACCACTACTGGACTGAAACTTATTGAACACCCTTCTTACAGTCCAGATCTTGCTCCCTGCGCATGTGAAAATGAAGCTAAAAGGAAAACGGTTTTCTAGCAATGAGGACCTTTTGAGGGCTTGGGACAACGAGTGTGCCGCATTCCCGATTGAAACTTGGCAGAGCTGGTTTAAGGACTGGTTTTGGCGGATGCAAAAGTGTTTTGAATGTGGTGGAAATAATTTTGAATGAAGTCAATAAATAAAGCTGTATTGTATAGTCTGTATAACATGTGTAATAAAGTTGTAAGGTTTAAAAAAAGATACATCTAATGGTGACCTTAAACGTAAAAAACTTCACGTTCAAATATACATTTGACCTTGAATATGACCATTAAGGTCATTTGAAGATCGAATCAATTTTAAACGGAAAACATCTAAATTTAGTTCATGAATTGCAAATTGAGGATAATTTCAAGTCTAAGTATATCCTTGCCATCGAACCTAACCTTAACCGTCAAGATCATTTTAGGGTTAGATAAATTTTCCATTTTTTTATCGAGAATATGAAAAAGCGAAACGTTTATATTAATTGTTACAGTAAAATGTTGGTAAAGATGTGCATGGCCATGTCATATAGCAATATATTGAATATTGTATTTCTTTCTGTGACACCAATCTCCTTCTCACTAATGGGAAACAGCCTATACCTTACACTACTTCCACGCGAGCGCCGAGGTTATTCTAGTAACATTATGGAAAACTGCACTGCTTAGAGCAAGCAAACATCGAGTCTTTTCCATATTGACTATTATTTTCTCTGTGATATCATTTTTTTACTCTAGGCATAGAAAATAATATGAGAACCTGCACAAGAACCTGTATACGTATAAAACTATTTCCGCTAATGGGAGAGAACTAAAATTCATTTCATTATAGCGGACCAGCCGCGAGGACAGTTTAAATGCCAAACTGCCACAGCTGCTATAAGATTCAGTGAAGTTGGTGAAGATCATTCACGTTACGTTTTGCTTTGACGTGATGGTTTTGAATTCAATGCCGATAGTTACAACAAACCTTCAACCAGCTCTTGCACTATTAGCATTGTCTTGCGCTAAACGTGGTGCACAATTAGGGCGGGCCAGAGCCACCCTTATCAAGGAGGCGAGAGTGCCGAGGAAGGACGGACCGCCATAAATATGCTCGTTAAATAATTTTCCAGTGTGGTCAGGCCACAGATGCTCCGCTCTTACAACTTGCGTCTTAGGATAGTTTCGTGGGAGAATGTATATTTTGGTGGGAAATAGTTGGGACATTTGCTAGTTAGAACAGCAAGTATGTAAGTTAAAGAATGGAGTTAGCACTTTGGTACTTTCGATGCATTAATACAGTTCTGTTTCCAAGTTACGCACACGAACCTACACATTTTTAATGCCTCAAACGCGCTTTCGCCACAAAACTTTGTTCTACTTGCATTTGATTGTCTTTTCAATTTATAAAGTCATTCATGATAACCTGACAAGTCACATGGGTATGGAAAACTACTGGGATTACGTTTTACTCCTTTGCGGGAAAGTATTGTAATCGCGAAAAAAATATCAATGACGTAACAGAAATTGTATAGCCACTAAAAAATGAAATGTCAATATAATAATAATAAAACGTATTAATTAGTATCACAACAAAAGGGCGAAGTTTAGGCAGTTGGCTACTCTTACACCCATCCCTATTGTAATGGTACATAGCAACCTAAAAATAAATACATCAATCTGATATTAAACTGATTGAGCTAATACGAAGGAAAAAAAATACACACAATTGATAAATCCGCGCTGTGTTGGTTTACCAAAAAGGAACTAGACAAGAACCAATACTGAATGGAACACAACCCAAAAAAAAAACATTAAGATCATAACAAATAATCACAATAGATCTAACAGCTGATTTTTAACCAGCTTCCTGAATGTTACAACACTTTTGCTTCACCAGGCAGGGTCGGTTTAGTTGTATAACCTCACAGCATTGAAAGTGAAACATTTTTGATACAATGTTGTGTAGTGCAAAGGCATTGTAAGATTATTATTATGCCTCAGATTACTAAGATTAATGACTCCTCTAGTTATCAATTTACTATGGAGACAGATGGGCTTTTTAGTACACAATGTCTTATGAATGACAACCTTAAGACTATATTCAAATTGTTGATCCATTTTCAGACATTTCAACTCCTTGATCTTAGAGGAGAGATGACTATATTATCGAAGACCATACACAACCCTACAGCACTTGTTTTGCATTATTTGTATCCTACACCGCTTCATCAAGCCAAGACAAGGATAATACAAAGTTAAAGCATAGTTGAGGCTGGACATTATCAAACTTTCAACTAGCTTCTTACGCGTTTCAGAGTTCAAAATTAATCTATTAGCATATAGCAGTCTAAATTTGATGTAGGTGGACTTCGACAGATTACACACATATTTTTGCCAGATCTTAAGCTAGAGTTGAAGATGACACCAAGATTTGTTTCTTGTACCACAATAGGAATGAGCTCATTGGTGATGCTCAATGCAATCCTGTCCCTTACTTTATTATTTATTAATCTTCAACATGTTTATCTTACAAAAATCAGTTATGTTGGCAAGATCACAATTTACCTGATATGAGACTTCATCCAGATGAGACAAGTTAAAATTAAAAGAAAGCTGCGTATCATGCGCCTATGTTTGTATAACACAATGCTCAATACATAAGATGGTTGTGCTGAAGATATTCCTTTATGTACTGATAAGGGCGTTGCGTAGCAAGTGCAGAGTCAACCTACTTAACGCTGTTTTTTGAAACGTATATGCAAATCTTGAAAAAGGTGTTTTTTATGTAATAATTTAGTCGTCTGCAATACTTTGAAGCAACAATTGTATATACCTAAAATTCATGTCTGAGTTATATGGGTGTAACGCATGTTGGAAGGTCTTCTATCAGAGTGAAAGATCCAAATGATAATTTGATGCGTACATTAACCAAAATATTGGAAGAAAAAACTTACCATGTTGATAAAGCACACACTCTCTTTGAGCGCTCCGATGCAGCCAAAGAGGGCAACAATGAAGATGATGAAGCCGATGGCGATGGACAGGTTGGAGGCACTGAAGTGTTGATCAGTCAGGAAGGCGTCGAAGCCCCCATAGACGCCCTTGATGGTGGAGCCGATAGAAATCAGTAGAAATCCAACGAGCTGTAAAAGAAGAGTGCATCACAAACACTGTACTTGTTGTTCTGAATCTGAGCCACTGTGAGGGCGGGGATCAAGTATGACTATACTGTGACTATTTAAAACTGACTGAAACTCATACGCGTGATCAGAGTCTGACCTCTCCACCTTGACAAACTTTGATATATTAGAATACAAGTATGTGTATGTTAAAAAACAAAAATTGGGAAAATATGGGTCTACAGTTTTGATTCATTTCTTTATTACAATTTTAATTTTTACATTGTGCTCACAAGGTCTCATTCATTTGTCGTAATAATCTTGAGTAAAACGGTTTATGAATTTTTGGACTTGTTTTAAGGAGAAATCTGCTCGGATAAATAAAATATTTAAAAATCACGATCGTGCTACTTTTAACTGAGTACGCTGCCTAAATGGTGGATCATACATAAATGCTGCTACTACGAAATAAGTATCTTCAAAAGAACTAAAAAATCCGCAGAAGCATATATAGCGATCTCTTATAAACAAGCCACAATAACGCTCTTCATGAGAAAATATTCATTTTCAGTCGCCCCCTGGTTGCATTGATAGGTCCTTGCCTGTTTCGGAACGTATGTCAAATGGCTTGGTGAGGTCATGCGGTTGAGCTTTGAGATTTCATTCCACACAGCTCAGGTGATTATGATTTTTTTTCCGTCAAGTAAGTTTGTCCGATCGCCATGAGACACGAAATCCGGTGAAAATTCGCCAGATTATACTTATTATCCCGAGAAAATTATAGTTGGTTTTATTTGCAAACTCAATGTCGATTTTGCACTACGATTCAGCTGTTGAAGAATCAACGATTAGCTGATCCTGCGCCGCATCTTGTTTGCCTGTAAAACTCTAGACTGCCATGCGGGCGAAGCCGTGGGCTTATTCTAGTAAGTAAGAAGTTTGAACTTCTGGCAAATATCTCATTTGCATTAATATTTTGTATTTCACAACTTTTTGCAATTTAAGTTGATTTTGTGGCCTTAAAAATCATAAACTATTTTTTTTCCACTGATGAGCTCGTCTACTTGTAATAAAACATTAAAACCAGTCAAAATCAACAAACATGCTAAGAGTAAGGAACGCGCTTGAATATTATCATAAATAAGCTGAAAGCAAAAATGAAAACGGATTCCGGTGCGGACATAAGATGACGCCTGATCGCTTCCACGCTACAAGGCCCGATACATTGGCGTAGACTAGTAGTGCTTGGAACTTGTTTTGTTGACAGTCTAGTTACCGCGTGATATCGTTTGTTGTTAGAAGAATTGTTATTTGGTTATTTCTGTTGTTATTGTTCGGGTTATACTTATATTTCCTTAACCATGTAGGGTGAGACTGGGGATCGCAGTACTGGAAGCCAGGGAACAAGTAGATAGCTTCGTAAAGCACAGAAAAAGGACGCGAAAGAAATCATGCTCAACGGGTTCAATTATTTGAACAAGACTAAGGCTCGTATCGTCTGTCGTCACTACAATTGTAGGGCGCCTTTATGGCCTCCTTGATTGTCATAGTTTTCTACTGCTCCGTGTCAGAACTCTATTTTGAGGTTATGTCACAAACATCTATTTGCATCAAATTGTGCTTGCTTTTGAGTTATATCATGTATATCAGCCTGAAATTTCCTACAATTTGAAAAGAAAACATATCTTCACAATAGGAGAGCGCTGACGCTGACACGGGACAAGTGTAATATAGAAATTTTTGAAGGAGAGAAAGAAGTATGACAATCAAAGAGGCCATAAACGCGCCCTACAATTGTAGTGACGATTGACGATACGGGCCTAAGACTCGCAGGGAGATGCACTTACGCGTTGTGAAAGCATGCCAGGTGTCTCAGAGTGGACTGTTCGCAGTGGTGCAGGAACAGAAGAAAACTGGAGCTACCGCCGATCCAAAGCTCCATTTGAAGGGACGAAAGGACATCAAACTAAATGGCGACAGCAAAATGGCGTTAAGGCGAACCGTATATTCATTCCCTCTTAGGAATTAACCCTTAAGGCTATACATGCAAATATCAATAGTAAATACATTATACCCCCAGTGAGCGTCGAAGTATCAAGGAAGACCCTGCACGAACTTAATTATCGTTATGAAACGCGTAATTGGAAGTCAAGATTGATAATGAAACCTGAAAATAGTCGCGTGGCGCCGAAAATACCTACGCGCTATAACTGAATATACTTAGACGACAGAGCAGAAAAATATTTTGTTTAAACGAGACGTGGGTAAATGAAGGTCACACGGTTAAAAGACCTGGATAGACAAAAATGTACTGAGTAACTGACATCAAGCATTTGAGGTTTGTCAACAGGTCTTCGTGCACCGTCAACGAAAAGTCAACAATTGATCGTTACACATACTGGCAGCGATAGTTGCTTTTTAGAAGGATGCAACGTGACTTTCTTTTCTAAGAAAGAAGGTGATTACCATGACGAAATGAATGCCAGCTGCTTCAAGAGCTGGTTTCAAGTGGTACTTCAGTTGAATCCAACTCGGCTATCGTCATGGATAATGCTTCCTACCACTATCGTCGAGCCGGACGTGTACCAAATATGGGGTCTCGGTAAAGTGGAATAGTAAGATAAGAAACAATTAAATATCACAAACGTGCGATCATTAGTTACGTAATTGATGAGATGGCCCGTCATTGTGGTGTCACTGTGCAGCGTTTACCGCCCTTCCATTATGAACTGAAGCCAATAAAGTTCATCTGGGCTCAAGTGAAGGGTTCTATTGCGCGCCATAGCACAACTTTTAAATTACCAAACGGCAATGCTTTGCTAGAGAATTCCATACAGCTAGTAACACCTGAAGCGTGGCAGAACGGTGTCATGTTGTGAAGGAAGAAATAAAAATGTGGTAGCTTGGCCACAACATCGACACCATGAAAGTGCCAGTTATAGTCAATCTTGGCAAAGAATGCCATAGCGACAGCTTATTACTTTCTGATGGAAATGGAAGCGACGACGACTGAAGAGAGGTAGACTAAGTTAGCTCATGGATAATCAGAAAAAAAACTGCCAAAGGTGATCTCCAAATTTCTATAACGTCTTCCAAACCATTTCATTTTTTATTCAACATATAAAAGAAATCCAAGTTCACCTACATTAAAAATTCATACCCCGCCACTGACAATCCGACTACCGGGTCTTCACGTGATCATGGATGAGTCATTACAGTTTTAGATTGTTATGGTATACAATGTCCAGGACGAAATAATCTATTTGGCTATCACAACATACTTTGAACTTTTCTGTATTGAGAATTATTCGTAAATCGACTCTAAAAAATCCTTCGGCAGAACCGATTGTACGTCCCTGCAGAAGTTAAGGGTACCTGTGAAAGTTATGTAGCAAACATAGGTCTAATTCTAATTGAAGTTCGACCGTTGAAATTAATTCCGATGACACCTTGCTATCATATATTTGATCCGCTATGACAACCTTGACACAGCCATTATATTTTGACTATAAAGGGTGGCCAGAATATCAGGTGACAGCATTATCATAGCGGATCATACGTATGACGGGAAGGCGATATCGATATTAATTTCAACGGTCGAAATTCATTTACAATCAGGCCTTATATCTCACTGGCTAAAGTAGTTGGGGGTAATTTTTAGAAAATGATAGTAGATTCACTCAAACGCAAGGAAAAGTGCCGTGGCAATGTACGATCAGATGTCGTGTAGTCACTTCCTTGACCACTTGAGGGCGCGAGAGCAGTATATTGGCTATTCAGCTTAGCAAGGGAAATTAGTGCTAATCACGGGTTGACCATAAAAAAGTAGTTAGAAGCGAAAATGTTTTTCACAAGGAAGTCTGTAATTTTATTTACGTCTTTTAATTTGAATTTATCTACCAGAATTTTGTGCAGCAAGTATAAAAATCGATAATCTAACCAGTTTCACTGACCACACAAAGAAAAAAAAATGGGTTTTTGTTCCTAAGCACAATGGATGTGCTGATGGATTGATGACAATATGTCCTTTTTGCAAATTATCTCCCACAGGTATTTTCAATAAAATGCCAAACAATGGCTGTCCTATAATATTATACGAGTACTAGCTCCGTGTTTCGAGCAGGCCGCAAATTCGTCTTTTTGACTGGTGGAACTTGTACATGATTTCTAAATTTCGCGTCTCGCGTCAAATGTAAAAATAGGTTCTTTCAGCAGCACTAGATGATATATGAAGCATTTCCTGATTTAACATGGGAATTAGGAGACAATATTACAAAAATCGTATAACTTGTCTCTAGTCTAAGTGATATTTTAAAAGAATTCGACATTAGGAGTGGATATCACCAACACTAATATAATTAACGGTCACTTGAACCAATTGGAAAAGACCTCATCGAAATGCAATGTGATGGATGCTGTCAAAGCTCTTTGAATATCAGTGATTTCAACTAAAATAATAAATAATATCGTGAAAAAGCGATTGTATTGTAAAGAAGAGCACTTTTTCTTTCCAACATGATGCTTTTCTACAGAGAAAACAGGACAACTTTAATGTATTTTGCTATTTCTTATCAAATCGTCTCGATATTATAAGTCAGAATCAAAAATACATAGTTACGAAAATATTTGCAAAACTTGTTATATTTCATTTTTATTTTATCTGGAACACGTCTGGAATCTGAATTGATTTTGAAGTGTTCTGCAGTGTTGCCCAACCGAAAAAAAAGAAAAATCTGGGACGTCGCAAGGTCAAGGGCCTTTGCGTCATGCCGCGCCACCTATGGAAAAAGTTTATTATTATATTGAGCGCGCGCACAACTTTTTTTTTGAGGGCATAGTTCTATATCACAACTTGTACAGTGAGCATAGTGGTCGGTCTTTCAAACTCCTTTGCAACCATGCTTTAAACTTCTTTTTCCATTCTTGCTAATATAGGATTGTGAATATTTTTCTGCTTCACCCCTGAATTCATGAAGTTTCATAATAATAATAATAATAATAATAATAATAATAATAAAATGTGT